GCACTGAGAGGGCAGAGCCACCTCCGTCAGGGCTCCTCCCGCCGTCACACATGGGGCCTGGAGAGCGCGCTGTGGGTGCCTGGCCTGCCCGGGCAGAAGCCGCCTCTCCCTGTCCCCTTCACTGTCACCCAGCAGCCAGCTCAGGGACACCCACCTTGAGCTTGTACTTGTTGGAGGTCAACTTCCGTGTACTGGGTGTCCCCGAGGGACCCAGGCCCTGCTTGAGGTCGTGCATGGTGACAAGCTGGCTGGCTGCGAGGGGACAACAGCAGTGCTTTGGAATATACGGGGTGTTTCTCCCCAGCCCCCCGCCCTGCCCTCCTGCCGCCCACCCCCTCCCTAGGGAGCAGGGCGAGCCTCGGGCACTCACGCGTCTTTTTGACGGTGATGGGGAGGCTGTAGTTGTAGGCGCTGCGCTTGGCTTTGACAGGCATGTCGCTGGAGGCGTAGCCTGATGGAGAGGGAGGCGCGTCAGGCGGGTGGGCGCGCCGCCCCCTCTGGCAAACAGCACTGGTCTGCACTACAGACGCACGCGGGTGTCCCGGGGGCGGTTCCTGAGAGGGGGACTCCAGGCCCCCCGCGTTCTGGAGCTCTATGTGCCAGGGGCCCAGGGCAGGCTGGACACTGGACACTCACTGGAGGCCCGGCCCGCACCGCAGAAGCCACAAGTAACCGGAATACCCGAATGGGGACTGCGGTTCAGCCGCCAGAGGGTCCACGCTGGAGCCAGGACTCGAGCTCTGGTCCTCATCCCTATGCTATTCTGCCCACAACAGTCTCACCAAAGGGGAAAGGCTCTTCATCCTCTCCATATGGATATACTCTCATTGCAGAAGAAAATGCTAGACACAGAAAGAGACGAAGAGAGAAAGACAGGAGCAAAGGCACTAGTCACGTTTACCGTATTTTATGCCACAGCGGATCCGGAAGTCAAGGACTTGATAGATCTTGGCGCCTGGGTGTTTTCGGGGGTCGTACCCATATCGAATCCACAGGCTTCTCCAGGGGCCAGTGATCTGGAGACAGAAAGGGTGGGAGTGCGAGTGGGGCCGATCCCCGGCCCCCCAGAGACGCGGGCCACAGTGGTGCATCCAGGTGGGGCAGCGGGACAGTCCAAGAGGTGAGGACGCGGCTCTGGAACCCCACCCCAGCTCGGCCAAGTGTGGCTCCATCACCTCGGGTAGGTCCCTTGGCCTTTTCAAGGCATGGTCCACCTGTCAGATGGTGTTTTTGTGCGGATTAAATGAGATGCTGCCCCGGAGCCCTCACCACAGGGCTGGGCAGAGAGCAAGAGCTCAAAAAATGTCATTAGTGTACTGATGGACGGACGTAAGGTCCCGGAACAGTACTCCCGAAGCCCTTGTCTAGGAAGCCAACACTGAACGGCAGATGGCGGCTCTGAGCACAGGAGGGAGGTGTCCTCGTGCACCCCACCCCCGCCATCACTGTCACGGTCATGTCTTGCACTTGCCCCCCCAGTGCTCCACATGGGACCCTTGGGGATGGTGGGGACCACACGGGGCTCCTCCTCATAGCACCTGTGGGAATCTCCATGCCCTCCAGGACCGAGTCCACGGTGCACCTGCCCCACTGAACCCCACTCAACCCAGGCAGACTGAGTGAAGGCGGAGTGGCACCGACGTCAGGGGCTCAGGCTCTGCAGCCACACAGGCCGGGGCCCCCGGGCGGCTCAGCCACTTGCTGGCCGCAGGACCCTGACACATCGAGTCACTGCCCTGAGCCAGGCTTCTCCATCCCCGCCGGAGGAAGACAGGACAGGAAACACACAGCACTCAGCCCAGTGCCTGGTCCTTAGAAAGTCCTTAATACAAAGTCACTTAAAACGTACAATTCCTTCACTTACAAGTCATGCGACCACTCCTCAATGCCACAATCCCAGGACGGCCAGGCGTGCTACCGAGGAGGCCTCTGTAGGGGCTGCAACAAGCCCGTGCGGCTGGGACAGGGCCGCCTGCTCTTGCTGCGACTCTGAGCGGTCACATCAGGGACCAGAACCCCAGGGGGAGCCAAGGTGGGTGGTGGGCGGACACTCACCATGTAATAGGCCATGAAGGGCAGCAAGACCTTGAGCTTGTCAGGGTGGACGCTGATGTTGGCCTTGACGGCGTTACGTGACCAGATGGGTCGGATTTCAAACAGCTGGGGGTCAAGGCAGGGGCTGAGATGAGCACAAGCAGCCTCTGGCCCGCCTGCCCCAGGCTCCCTGCGTGGTCTGGCCCCCAGAGGGCCTTCCGCGAGGAGGCAGCAGAGAGCAGGGGCTGAGCGCTTAGCACCTCCCTCAGAAGCGTGTGCTGTGCGCCCAGCACGTTTCAAGTGCAGTTGCAGGGCCTGAGGGTCCTGAAATGACCTTGAGGGACACCGTCCCTGTCCTCGTGCAGCTCAAAGGGCAGCCGGGGAGGCAGACAACCCAGAACAGGGCCATGAGGGGGACATGCCAGAGCTCAGGGATCCTGAGCGGCACCAGCCTAGAGGGCAGAGGCCTGAGCTGGGACGCCATGGAGGCCGCAGGGGACGGCCCAGCCTAGGGGAGGGCTGCCAAAGGCTGGGGTCTGGACCACAAAGGGCCAGGGTGGGAAGGACCCTGACCAGGTGGGGGATTGGGCTGTGACCAGAGGACAATGAGGGGCCTCGGAGAGTGGCCCCCATCACCCACCGACCTAATGACTGCTAGAAACACAACAAAGTGTCCACACAGTCTCTTTAAGAAATGACAGCGCCTTGTCCCACCCCTGCCAGGGTTAGTCAACTTCAACAGGGGAAGAGGCATCAGCCAGCAGTGATGTGGCCTGAGACCTGCTGTCCCCACCTGTGGGGACGCAAGGAACAGAGGCCCCTGGACTGTGTCTTCTAGAACCTGAGAGCCAGTGGGCAAGGTGGAAGGCTGCCTCCTCCCAGGGCCGCACGTCCACTCGGACTCTAAGGCAGGGGAAGCGCCGGGCCTGGCGCGCAGCAGGTGCCCTGTCTGGTATGTTGCAACCAGCGACTGGATGAATAAAAGCTTCCGGGTCTCAGAGCGCATCCTGAAGTCACATCTGGACAAGGTTTACCCACCCCAAAGAGACCCTTAAGAGTTCTAAGAAGCACTTTCAACCTTGGGGAGGCAGGGCTTAATACTGGCATCACTTCAGACGTGACAGGAGGTGCACAGTTCCCAAGTGTTGATGCCTGAGTTTAAAGAAAGGGCAGTGCAGCAGAGTGAGAGCAGAACCACACCGAGGCGCCGGCTGGGAAACGGGAGGGGCCCGCGCAGGGGGGCGGGCGGGGGCGGGGCGCACCTTCCGCAGCTCCTCCTCCACCTTCCGGTCGATGGGGTTGGTGCAGACCCTCCTCCACGTCTGGACCGCAGCGTCCAGCGGCTGCGCAGGCACCTCGTCCTCCTCGAAGTTGACGAAGATGGCGTTGTGGGGGCGCCGGGCCCGGCTCAGGCCGATGAGGTTCTCGCCTGAGATGGGGGGGTTGTTGTAGCCTTCCCTGGGGGCAGAGAGCGCGTCTGGGGCAGCAGCGCCAGGCGCGGGCCTGGCCGGACACCGGCGGCCCACGCTCGTGTGCTTTTCCCTGCAATCTGGGTGAGGAGAGGACCTCAGCGCCAGCCGCTGAGGGCAGGGGCCTGAGTTCCCAGGCCGGTCTCTGGGAGAAGCGGCGGCGGCTCTGAGGCCCAGCAAGGCCAAAAGGTCCCAGACGCTGGGGAGCAGGGAAGGGCTCCTGTCGTGAGGTTGGTGCCCTCACAACTGCTCAAGTCCAGCCAGTGAAAAGCTGGAAACAACCTAAATGCCCATCAGGCGGGGATGGGGAAGTCAGGTGGGGCACAGACACATAGGACACGGGGATCAGCTGTCAGACAACAGCGGTACTTAATGATGTCTACAGCTCACTTGCTTGACCCTGAAAACTATCCTATGGGGGAAGGATCCATTTTCCCATGAAGTCACTGAGGCCACAGGGCTTGGAAACCCAACGAGAGCAGAGCTCAAGGGAACGGAGCTGGGACTTGAGCCAGGGAGGCTGGGGGCCGCCAACCACCGTCCTGCCACGCCTGCCAGAGCCTGAGTCTCCGGCCTGGGAGCATCTCGACGTCACCAAGGAAAGGAGGGACAGAGGCTACTGAATGGTCTCGTCCCACAGCACAGAGGTTAAAATGGGCTCTGCCACAAGCAGGTCTCCCTCCACGTGAGCACAGAGCATGCAGGGAGACGAGCCCTGGGGTCTCAGAGCGCCCACCTCTGAGGAGGGATGTCAGGAACGCCGCCCCTACGCTAGAGCGGGGGAACAGGATGAGGAGCCCCCAAAGCCCACCGCCAGCTTTAACAATCACTGTCACGTGGCTGATTTCACGTCATCCAGACTGCACCCCGGACCCGCTCAGCCACTCTGAGGGATATTTCAGAGTATGTCCTGGATGTCATATGACAACACTGAGGTGATCACCACCTTTTAAACGTGTTCCATTTTACCTTAATTTTCTACATGAGTACAGACCATTGCAAATCTGTGCCTTTTTTTTAAACGTGACTCCATTTGCTTGCGATTTGTAGATATACACAACTATATATAAAAAAGATAAACAGCGAGGTCCTACTGTAGAGCCCAGGGAACTATATTCAGTATCTTATAATAGCCTATAATAGAAAAGAATCTGAAAAAGAATATACATGTATATGTATAAGTGACACTGCTGTACACCAGAAACTGACACAACACTATAAATCAACTCTACTTCAATTAAAAACACAAAACAAAACACATGACACCACTGGAAACCACCCTGAACAGCAACACTATCCTGTTTTCAAAGACACCTCCTGAAGCCCCAGACACCCAAGGAGAGATCCTGGCGGCTCCAAACCAGGAGCAGGAGCAGGAGCAGGAGGGAGCCGGCGGCCTCCACTGGCCCTCCTCCCCACCAACTGGCCTGAGGAGGAGGGACCCCCCATTAGGCCAGCCTCCTCCCCGCCAGCCCTCGGGGCCCCAGCAAGGCCAGCAGAGCAGAAAAATCAATAGCAGCCTTGGGAGAAACGGCAGGTTCTTTCCATGTGCTGGAAAATCGACAGACCACGTGGGAGGAAAACAGGGCCTCTGGGTCAAGGGCAGCTGGCCCTCTGCCCTCATCCCCTCCCAGAAGCTGGGGGACAGCTGTCTGCTGGCCCCGCAGGACAGACTGACTCAGACGCTGCCATCCAGTGCCAGGCCAGCAATGCGGATCCAGGGTGGGGGGCTCTAGTTCCTTCTTGTACACATTTCTGTTTATTTCTGACTGTAAAAGTAAAATGCTCGTGGGGCAAAAAGTCAAAATATTTCATAAATATGTAAATTTAAAAAACAGACTGTATCTCCCCCTGCTTAAAACTCCCGTACCGCAGATAATACAGGCACAGCAAACTCTCACTCAGCACGCTAGTTTCTGGCGGGGGGGCGGTGTGACCCGCTTCTCTCTAGCTACACGCTTCGGCACCGTTCGACTTTCTCTGTCTCCTGCAATCACAGAGTGGGGCGGGGGAACTTTATGGACCCAACAGGCCTGAGAGACGTCAACCAAAGCCACCCGCACGGCCCTGGTCTGGCTCCTGAGTCACTTTTGAGACAAATGGAAAATGGAACAAGGACTAGTCCTGGGTGACATTAAAGAACATTGTCGCATTTGCTCCTTACGATAATAGTACTCTGGTGAAGTTAAAAAAAAAGTCCTTCCCTGTTAGAGACCCACACTGACTTGTTTCTGGAGGATGAGCTGTGATGCGGGGGGGGGGGGCGGGGCAGGGAGCAGGCGGCAGAAGGCTGCTGATCACTGAAGCCGGTGCTGCAGGTGAGGGTGCATCAGACAACTCTCCACCTGTGGAACTCCCCATAATATGTTTTCAAAGGGAAAGAACAGTACATCTTTCTCTTTAGGACAGAATCTAAGCACCGTACTGCGGCCTACGGGACCCCACCCCACCACGCTCTTGGCTTGCTCTGCTTTGCAGGCAATGCCCCCGACTGTTCCTGTGCCAACCCCTACCCCGTGTCTGGATTGTTCTCCCTGGGTCTTCACCTGCCCGGCTCTGTCATCAAGAGGCCTGTTTCAAAGGTCAGCTCCTCCCAGGGCCCTAACCCCCCCACTCACTGCCCATTACCGCCCACTCCTCTCTTACAGCCTTCAAGGCACACATCTGTGCACAGGCCCCACCGTCCGCTCACCCTTCACTCAGGCTCCATCCGGCTCCGAACCCCCGGCCCAGCACAGAGCCTCCCCTGACGTGTTCCCGCTGATGCCAGCTCCAAGGGCAGCCTGGGCCCTGATGGGCGGTCAGTCCCCGTGAATGGAAGTATTTAGGGAGGAGAGAGAAGGTTCTCGTCCTCCCACCCCTCCAGAGACAACTATTCTGGGCCCAATCTTCCAAATTTTTCTAGGCTTCTAGAATCACCCCCCAATTTATTTTTATGCCACAGACTCTGCCTGAACACCTACTAGAGCAAGGTTCTCTGGACGCATGCTGCGTCAGCCCACGGAGCCTGCTCTCCTGCAGGCTGTGCGGTCTTCCTGGGCACGAACAGGCCATTAGTGGGCCGATCACTTACTTGTCGGACTCCGCCAGGCACTCACTGTCATAAGTATTTCAGAAAACGGCAGTCCTTTAGCCCCCCGACAGCACAGGGAAGCGGCACTGTTATCACCAGCCCCGTTACAGGCGGGAGGCTGGCACGGGAGGTCCAGGCTCACTCGGGATTGCATGCCAGCACCCGAACACAGGCCCCAGCTCACCTGGGCTCTCCCACACCAGGCCCTCTCAGCTTCCTGCTGCTGCCCATAACAACCAGGAAATGTGCCAAGTGTGTTTCTGAGCTCTGATCGTCGCTGTGGGATAGGCTTCTACAGGCAGCACTGCTAGGCCAACAGGGAGGAGCCTATGAAACTGTAACAGACCCCGCCAGGCTGCTCTCCAAAAGAGCCGGCCTCCCTCCTGGTGCCCTTTCAGTGCGGGGGTCTGTCTCTCCGCACCTCAAGGTACACGCTTTCGGGGCTGGGTCTTCACGTTCAAAGGTGACATCCTGATTCACGCTCCGTGGTGTGGGGACAGCTCTGAGCAAGGCCTCCGGGTGGGGCACAGGGACCAGGGCTTGTTCCTGACACTTCTCATCAGGGTCCCTCATCACTGGCTACTCTGCCGCTGGAGGCGCTGGGGCCATGGGCCTGAGTGAAGCCAGCCACCCTGGCCACCTGCCCCATGAGTGGCAGAGTCGAGCCCTCTGACCGCAGGGCCCTGGCTCTGAACCCCAATGCTGCAGGGAGCTGGGAGTACCTACCGGTGCTGTGTCTCTGGTCGATAGAAGTAGTCCACTGGGGTGTCCAGCCTGGAGAAGATGGGTGGGGGGATGTAGAGGGGCAGCTCCTGGTGGAAAAAAGTCTCCTTCTCAGGCTTGAGCATGAGAACCTTGTCATACATGGACATGTGCCCGCCGCCTGCGTCCGTGTGCACAGCCAGGTACTGGAAGTCGGACATTCCTGGAAAGAGACGGGACAGACACCCTATCACACCTGCCCAGGCGTGGCAGTGGCCACGCACCGACACCCACACCTTCTCGAGGGTCCTGAGCCAGCCCCATGGGGGAGGCTGCTGGGCAGCGGTGGCAGGAGCCAAAACCACCCCTGCGAGTCGCTCCTGTGAACTCAGCCCAATGCACTGCAAGTCACTCGGATAAGTATTTTGGAGGCAGGGGGTTACATGACATGTGATGATGAAGTCTAGACTTGTGTGCCTCAAAATGTTAGGCGCACGTGACTCACCCAGGATCTTGCTGAATACAGATTCTGAGACGCTGCATTTCTAACAAGCTCCCAGGTGAGGCCGATGCTGCTGGCCCAGGGACACACATGGAAGGGGAGATGCTGGCTCCGTCAGAGAGAGAAAACACGATCACTTGGAAAGCCTCATCCTGGGAAGGACAGCCCTCTCGGCGGATACCAGAATGACGGCCAGAATGACCGACATTCAAAAGGCCCAACACGTGGGATCCCAGGCCGTCTTGGTTTCCTTACGCTTTCTATCCCCTCCTTCCTCTCTGAGTCTTTAGCCTCTTCAGAGTCTATCTCAAGAACTGCAGCTGCAACTACAGACCTTCTGAAGGCTTGTTAGTAACCTGCCGAGTGCCTCCAGTGTGTGGGAACCGGCCCTTAAACAGGCATTATCTCCCTGAATCTCCCCGAATCTCCCCAAGGCTTTAAGGAACTCAGGGCTCCGGCCGCCCAGACAAGGAGGCCGAGGCTGAGGGCAGCCAAGCTACCTGCCCAGAGAGACTCGCAGAGCTGGCGCAGGCACCACGCCCAAGCCCATGTTCTTTCTGACTCCCCTTCCTCATCCCACGCCTACTGCCTCCTCACAGGAGTTCCCTGGGGGCGGCAAACTCAGGTGAGGACCCCACAGGAGATATTCAGTCCACTGAGAGTTCACAGGACATGAGATCCCAAGGGAAGTCATCTTGGAAGGCTTTAGAGGGAAGGCAAGACCAGCAGCCATCAAGACCAAGAAGGTTCCCAAACACCGGGGGCTGAAAAGTAGAGGCCTGCTGACTAGTTTTATTTGGCCCCAAATAATGGCTTTAAAAACAAGATTTCTCAGAGAACTCCAGTTCCCTAAAGAATGCAGAAAGCCAGGCAACAATGAGCCCACAGACTGCAGGGAGCTGCTGGCTGGAGGGAGGAGAGTCTGCCTCCTGGATGGGGCCTGCACTATGCCACCCCCTCGTCCCCTACCCACAGCAGGGTGTGAATGGCCCACACACTCCTGCAGGTATGAGGGACACACGCCCTGAAATAACTCAGTGCAGGAAGAACTGCACTTTGCAGTTACCTTGAAATTTGTAAACGGTGGAGACAATGCCAAGGACCTCCACGTCGACTGTGACCTCGGGGTGAGCCTCAAGCCCTGGGGCCCCCCTCCGCTGCCTCGTCTTCCTCCTGACCCGGAGCAGCAGGCTGCTGGAACCAAAGCGGTTGGCACACACCGGGTGGCAGTAGGGGTCCTTGGGCCGGAAGTACAGCTCCAGCCTCTTGGTAGGGTCAGTATAGATCTGTGGTGAAGCAGTGACCAGCTAAGCAGGCAGCAGGAAACTGCTCCCCTCTCAACAAAATCCCAATGGGAACCCAGGTGGCCAGGGCCAGAGGCTCGTGTTTCATTCTCAGCTTTTAATTCCCAAAAGATTCATTTGTTTTTTTTAATGGAGTTACTGAGGATGGAACCCAGGACCTCATGCATGCTAAGCATGCGCTCAACCACTGAGCTATACCCACCCTCCAAGAATCATTTTTCAAACCCAAGACTTAGGAATCCCTTTGCATGAAACACAGGTCTATAGACTGTTAGGGTGGGAATGATCCCAGAAGTGAGCCAGGCCCAGAGGAGGTGCACCAGAAACAGGCATGGAATGAATGAATGACCAGTCTCTTGCCAAAGGGCTCACACTAAAACTGGGGGGCTGACATCCCCAGGGTTAGTGGGAGGGTCCTGTCAATGCCGCAGTAAAGTAAGTCAGGATAAAAGGATAAAGCATGACTGACTGGGTCTCGGCAGGCATCTTGTGCTTAATGACAAGTTCACGGTTTTTAACATCCATAAAGGATGAGGAGGCAGAGTTAAGATTTCAGAGGGAGGCGAGCATGAGTTCAAATCCCCACTGTACCATGTAGGAACTTATTTGATCCAATCTTTCTTCCTGTGTCTTTATCTGAAAAATGGGAATAATAATGTTACCTAACTCACTAGAAAATGTTGTGAAAATTCAATCTTGCATTTGACAAGTATTATAGATGTTAGAACTAAGGGAGTGAATGAAAGAGACAAGGTCCTGCTCTCATGGAGTTTACAGCCTCAGAGCCAAGGATCCTAGACAGACAATAAACACATTAAAACATAATTTCAGACTGGAATTAGCAGGTTGAGTCGGTAGATATTAACTGCTAGCAGCCACTTTACTGAGGGCAGGCAGAGAAGGGCTCTCTAAAGGAGACACTTCAAGGTCTGATGCATGTAATGCACTTACACATAGAGCTTTGTATAAGGTAAGAATCCATCCCAGCCCCACTATTTGCCGCGTAAACACATTGCCTTGGTTTCTTTGCAAAAATTAGGACACTGACAGTTTCTACCTGGCAGGGTTCTAATGAGGACTGAATGTAAGTAAGTAAAAGCACCTAGAACTGTGCCTGGAACAGAGTAAGTTGTTAGCTATTACCACCTTCAACCCTAATAACATAATCCTTAGCCCTCCTCTCACGCAGGTCAATGGTTCTTCATCTACCCATTCCTCAGGTTTCTGCCCCAGCTTTCTGCCTCAGCGAAATGAGGATGTGGCAGCCCAGCACATCCGGGGGGGGGGGGGGCTGCAGCTGAGCTGCGTTCAAGACAGGGATGCGGAAGCTGCGGCTCATCCGAGGATGGGATGGAAAAGACATTCCCCTCCTTGGATCTCCTCTGCAGACCTTTCCCCTCAGCTCCCGGGGAAAACGGTCCGCGCCCGGCGAACTCAGAAGCAAACCCCGCCCATGGCCGCCCGAGCCTGCCTCAGGCTCAGTTTCTTGCCAAGGAAACCACACATCCCGCCCCTCCGGCGTCGTCCCCCGACTCAGTCCTTCCCCCGGTCCCCGGAGGCTCCTCGCTCCTCACCCGGGAGACGCTTTCCTCGCCGCCCAAGGTCTGCATCATCTTGGACACGTCGCG